TTCTGGGTCCATTGATCATGTTGGCCATGTTGGCAGGAAAGATTTTGAACTATGGATTTTAATTAAAATGGATTATACTTAAGGAAGATTTTAAGAATCTTTAGGAGATGAAATAGAAAACTAATCTTTAATTCTTATACTTTTTGTTAAACATCAGAGATGTATTCTTTTTTTTTATTTTATTTTATTTTATTAAATCTTTATTGTTCAGATTACATTTGTTCCTCTTTTTTTTCCCCCCCATAACTCCCCTCCTCCCAGTTCCCGCCCCACCCTCTGCCCTTACTCCCCATCCACTGTCCTCATCCATAGGTGCACGATTTTTGTCCAGTCTCTTCCCGCATCTCCCATTCCCCTTCCCCCCCCAAGAATAGTCAGTCCATTCCCTTTCTATGTCCCTGATTGATTATAATCACCAGTTCATTCTGTACATCAGATTATTTATTCACTTGATTCTTAGATTCACTTGTTGATAGATGCATGTTTGTTGTTCACAATTTGTATCTTTACCTTTTTCTTCTTCCTCTTCTTAAAGGATACCTTTCAGCATTTCGTATAATACTGGTTTAGTGGTGATGAACTCCTTTAGCTTTTCCTTATCTGTGAAGCTCTTTATCTGACCTTCAATTCTGAATGATAGCTTTGCTGGATAAAGTAATCTTGGTTGTAGGTTCTTGGTATTCAGCACTTTGAATATTTCTTGCCATTCCCTTCTGGCCTGCAAAGTTTCTGTTGAGAAATCAACTGACAGTCGTATGGGTATTCCCTTGTAGGTAATTGAGTCTCTTTCTCTTGCTGCTTTTAAGATTCTCTCTTTGTCTTTTGCTCTTGGCATTTTAATTATGATGTGTCTTGGTGTGGTCCTCTTTGGATTCCTTTTGTTTGGGGTTCTCTGTGCTTCTTGGGACCTGTAAGTCCATTTCTTTCACCAGGTGGGGGGAAGTTTTCTGCCATTATTTCTTCAAATAGGGTTTTCAATGTCTTGCTGTCTCTCATCTTCTGGCACCCCTATAATTCTGATGTTTGTACGCTTGAAGCTGTCCCAGAGGCTCCTTACACTATCTTCGTATTTTTGGATTCTTTTTCATTTTGCTTTTCCGGTTGGGTGTTTTTGCTTCTTTGTATTTCAAATCTTTGACTTGATTCTTGCGCTCCTCTGTTCTGCTATTGGGTGTCTGTATAATATTCTTTATTTCAGTCCGTGTATGCTTAATTTCTAGTTGTTTCTTTATCATAGCATCGAGGGTCTCATTAGATTTCGTGAGGCTCTCATCAAGTTTATTGGCAGCTTCTAGCACATTATTGCAAGCCCTCATAATTGCGTTTTTTAGCTCTATATCCTCCATTTCTGTCATGTTTTTTTGTCTCCGCATTTTTTATGCTTTCTTGGTGCACCCCCTTGTGGTCTTTGTGCGCAGTCTTGTTCTAGTTAAGCCTTGATTGTTGTAGTTAATACTAGAGGGATTTGACCACCAGGCCGACTGGCTGTGAGAATCAGCTGTGTCTGCCGCAGGAAAACTTCTGTCCTCTGGAGAGGTGCTAATCTAGCCTTTGCCTGAGGCGATCCGGCAAATGGCTCTGTGCAGGGCTTGGGCAGGGCTGGTCCCAGGGGATCTACAGGGTGGGCGGAGCGAGCAGTTATGGCTGCTCTCAGTCCCTTCCCCAGGGGCTCTGCCTCTCAGAGTCCCAGCAACCGCTGCAAACCTCGGAGAGAAAGCTGCCTTCGAGTTCCGACCGAAGCCAGACAGTCCCGCTTCTCCCGTTTGAGTCTGGGTCCCTAGAGACTCGCCCGGATCTGGAGCTCAGAGTCTGAGGCTCCCTCTCGATTGAAACAGACACCGCGCCCCCAGCCGCCAGCCCGCTCCGCATGCATTCCGCACCTCAGTATTTTACTTCCACGTTGCGCCTCCTCTGAGTCTCGGTATGCTTTCCTCTTTCCTCCTAGTTGTAGAACTTCCACTCAGCCAGCCTTCCTGTGGTTCTGGATGATGCTGTTCCGTCTTTTAGTTGTATTTTTGAAGTGGTTCTTCGAGGCAGCAAACTCCGGTGTTTACCTATGCCGCCATCTTGGTCTCTCCCAGAGATGTATTCTTCAGGCCCGTTGCTGCAACTTTTAATTCATTCTCAGTCTTTTTTGGATATGCAATTGAAAATTTTTCTCCCTGAAATAATTCTAGGATTATTCTAACTTTCATAAGAGTCTCTCTGGATTTTCTGTTTTGTTTCCAACTGTCCTATTTATCCCATCTACTCTCTTTGTATTTACCACCTTTATAGTTTTTGCTTATTTATATGTGATTTCTGTTTCTCATGATTTCATTTTGTCTACATTACTTAAGTTTTAACTTCTTTGTGCCATATTCATGTACTCTTTAAGCCTTTGTGCCTGGTTGATAACTACCTTGTTTTCTTATTATTCATTTTTAAAATACAGAGTGAAGGCATTTGACTGATCCTGTTTTTTTAAAATGTATGAGAATGTCATAGATCATTGACATAACTATGGTTATCTGACTTTTCCTTAGTTGCTCATTTCTATGTCAGTTGAGTTATAACTGGTGAGTAAAGGGCACCAAATTCAGCAGGTTTTGTGGTATATTAGAAAACATAGTTGATATATCTAGCATGTAAATCATGCTAATCCTATACCTTAGTTTACACAGTTGGGATATTTGCTTTAGACACTGGTGCATCTTGCTTATTATTTTTAAATTAAAAATTTTTTCTTTAATGATTTTGAAGTTATTAATACATTCTTATTGAAACAATTGAAATAATGCAGAACAAAGATGTACAGGGGTGGGCAAAAGTAGGTTTATAGTTGTGAGCATGTGAAACACAGAAGTTAATAAAGCTATTGTAATAATCATAACCTGCATGTTTCTTTCCATACAAACAACTGTAAACCTACTTTTGCCCCCCAACTTGTATAAGAACATATCTCCTACTTGTTTTCTGATGATGTTAACATTAATAACCTAATGTGTATCCTTGCACATCTTACTAATTATAACACAGAGGCTTAGTTTACTTTTATTGAAGTTAAATCTATACTATATCTATATCAAAGTACTATATCTATAGTACTTTGCCGTTTTTCTTTTCACTCAAATGTTTATCATGAAATATTTTTACAAGTCTGTAGATATCTATTCATGTTTGTGTTTCCCCAACTTCTTTGTATGTGCACACATATACACATTTATATAAAACCCTATGTTAGGTTTCTTGAGGAGAGGGTCCATTTTATTTATTTATTTTTAAAAATTCTTTTTATCTTGTCTATCATTTTCTCTCTTTATTAACCCCCTCCTCCCAATTAACATGGCAAGCCATGTTAACCTGCTGGATATAATTCTATACTTTTTTCCATGCTTACTATTATATACAAATTATATACAAATATGTGTGTATGTGTCTAAATACACACTCATATATGTAATTTTTTAGTTATTCCTTTTAAAAAATTGGGATCATAATATATAGTTCTGCATTTTCATTTAGCAGTACAATGTGGACATTCCACATTGGGATAGCTTAAATTTATTCCTTTAAAATTATTTTTACATTCCTGAAAACTTTCAGATATATGTGAGAAATTATCACAACGAACACTGAAATACTCTCCATCTAGGTTCAGTAATTGTTAATATTTTATCATATTTACATTACCTTTTTATCTTAGCAGGTTATATGTATTACTGTTGCTGTACCATTTAAAAATTAGATGTGGACATAATGACATTTTACCACCAACTCCTTCAGCATGCATCTCTAAGTCATTCTCCTTCATAACCATGATATCGTTATCACACCTAAGAAAATTAATAATATTATTGAATATCTGATATCTAATTCAGATTTTATTTTTTTCAGTTTAAAAAATGTCTTTTATAGATGTTTTATATCAAACCAAGACACGTTCGAGGTTTACTCATTGCATTTGGTTGATATGTCTCTTTATCTTAATCTAGAAAAATTTGCCCAGCCTTTTCTTCCTCCTGTGTACCTGTTAGAAGTCTTGCCCAGCTAATTTGTAGAATGTCCCCCAATCTTGGATTTACCTATTTTCTCGTGATATTATTTAACTTTTTCTTTGTTTTCAGTCTCTCCTGTAAATTGAAAATGAACTATAGAGGCTTAATTAGATTCAGGTTAAACATTTCTGGAAAGCATGCTGCATAGGTGATGTTATGAACTTTTTTTTTTTTTTTTGCTTTTGGGTCAGGAGAGGAGCCTGGGAAGTGGAGAGGGTTTGGAGAGATGAGGGGAGGGAGCCAGGAGAAGGGGCACTGGGGCTCTGGGAAGGGGCCCAGGGAGCTCTATGAACTTTATTATATTGCATTACTTTAGGGTACACATAATGTCTAGTATCTCACTATTAATGCCACTAAGTCTGTTTACTTGTTTAAGAGATGAAATAATGAGCTTCTCATTTGATATTACAATCAAATCTTTTTTGTTTGATGTAAATTACTCTTGAGGTTCTTGGATTATCTTTTCGAGTAGAAAACATTTTCAAAATACTCTTGAGAACAATTACTAAGAGACATAATTCTTCCATTGCAGAGATCCAATTTATTTTTAGAACTGATACTTCATGAATCTGAGGATCTGAAATAACCTGGTTAAGATACATAGAAATTATTATTATTATTTTAAAAATATCTTTATTGATTTCAAAGAGGAAATGAGAGGGAGAGAGAGATAGAAACATCAGTGATGAGAGAATCATTGAATGGCTGCCTCCTACACTCTCCCCACTGGGGATCGAACCCGCAATCTGGCCATGAGCCCTGACCAGAAATGGAGCTGCGACCTCCTGGTTCACAGGTAGATGCTCAACCACTGAGGCACACTGACTGGGTGATCCCTAGGAATTAAATATTTAATTCTCCATAGTGCAGTATTTTATGGATTTGTTTTCTATTAATTTGGTTTCTTGAATTTTTACATGATTTTTATATTGAGCTTCTAAAAATTACATGATGTTTGATATTATTACCACTTTATGTTTCAGAATGTGCCCATTTACTTTTGGCTCACAATGCTCCAGTAAAAGTGAAAAATGCTCAGGGATGGAGCCCGCTGGCGGAAGCCATCAGCTATGGAGATAGACAGATGAGTAAGCAATATAAATTACAGTTGTTATATAGTCTAAAAATATGAAGTGATTGATGCATTTGAAATATTTTTCATTTAGCATAACTTTCCATGCTCTGAAAAGTGTGCAGTTATTTATAAGCTTATATATGGATTATTAGGAACTTGAACATTGCATGATACATAAAAATAACTGAGGAATTATGTTTAAAAGTATGTTTTTTTCTCTTTTAATAGCATTCTGCCCTATTGTTATTTTTTATCATTTACTTTTTTATTTTTTAATCCTCACCTGAGGATATTTTTTTCATTGATTTTCAGAGAGAGTAGAAGGGAAGGGGGAGAGAGAGGGAAATAGAGGAGAGAGATGAACATCGATGTGAGAGAGACACATCAATTGGTTGCCTCCTGCACACATCCCAACCAGGGCAGGGATCGAACCTGCAAGTGAGGTATGTGCCCTTGACCGGGAATTGAACCCAAGACCCTTCAATGCATGGGCTGATGTTCTAACCATTGGGAAACTCCGGCCAGGGCTTTATATAATTTAGATTGAAGGACTTTTTAAAAATATTGAGAAAAAAATAAAAATAAAAACATTGAGACTTGACTGTCCTTTCTGACAACTGCTTAATTTTTTGAAGATTAATTGGAACTGAGAATAATCGGTGTATCAATATCAGTTATGTATCTGTTTTAATTACTAAAAGCAAGGAACAAGTGTGTCTGTTTTAGTTTTCAGAGAATTTCCAAAAAATGTCAGATATATTTTTCACAATTTATAGACTGTTCAGTTATACCACTCTCCCTCCTCCTACACCTTTTTTTTTTTTTTTCCAGTTTCATATACAGGTCTTATTTTTGTCAAATATATCTCAATAGTTGAATATTTTATAAAATTTTGAATGGTAATATTGAATGGTAATATTATCTTTCTTTTAGACTTTGAGGCTGAAAATAATCACTTCAGTCTAGCTTTGTAGAAGGAACTATAAAAAATTTGGCAGTTTTATTTTAAAAAAAGCATAACGTTGGACACTACTGAGTTGTTATTTGGTTTTAATTTTATTTTTGATTCTAAGTTTTGGGCTCTTATGGGTTTTTTCTTATGTTTTAGCTTTACAAGTAATCCACATATTATATCTGTGGAGTTTCTGAACACCTTGGACAACTTTTAATGGTGAAGTTAGATTTGGGCTTAAGATTTAATATGAGATAAAATTGTGATATTTTAACAACTATACTACTATGTATATGTATATGTATATGTAAGTTATTCATTGAGAGTTGTCCTTTCTGGACAAACATCAAGGGACCCTTATGAGAGCAAGAAACTGTACTAACCCTAGAATTATTTTAGGAAAAGGATAAAAATATACAGCTCTAAGAAAGTGAGAATAAATTAAAAGTTGTAGCAGTTGGTCTGAATAAACTTTCTCTGATATATTTTTTAAAAATTTTTGTTCACTTTTTTTTGGGAGAAAGAGAGAAAGAAATATCAATTTGTTGTTCTACTTATTTATGCATTAATTGATTGATTCTTGTATGTGCCTTGACCAGGGATCAAACCCACTCCTTGGTATATCAGATGACACTCTAACCAACTGAGTTACCCAGAAAGGGTTCTGATATTTCTAAACGATTAGCAGAGTGGAGAGGAAATGAGGTGGGCTCCTGGATTTCTGACCCACCTTGAGACAAGTGACTTTCAAGGATTCTCTTATTCAGCATTAGTGAATATTTATTGAGTCCTTACTATAAAGCATGTGTATATAGTAAGATGTAGAGAATAAAGACATGGTTTCTACTCTTTAGTAATTCATAATCTATGGGAAGGCCAATAAACAGAGTTTTCTAAGAAAATAAATTATTGGACATATAGTAATTTTAATGTAAAAATTGAGGCACATATTAGTTAAGGATGTTATAAAAGTGATTTCTGTACAGTGATATTTTTTAAAAATAATTTTATTGATTTCAGAGAGGAAGGCAGAGGGAGAGAGATAGAAACATCAATGATGAGAGAGAATCATTTATTGGCTGCCTCCTGCATGCCCCCCACTGGGGAAGTCTTCTGGAGCCAGCAATGAGGGCTGGAGCTCCAGAAGATTTCACAGCAGGGTTTGAGATTATTAGATAAAACCTAAGACTTTTTGATTGAGTAGGAGACAATAGATTTTTAGAAAAAAAAATCTTTAGATCAAATGTGGTAATCTTGTCTTAAAGAAGAGATACTGTGTTTAGAGAAGTAAGGGATAGATTAGAAAGATAATTAAATGAAAGAATTGACAATGGTTGATTATCTCCTGGGTAGTGATAGAAGGATTATGGGTAACTCCAAGATCTCTATCATATATTAATGGTGATCTCATTGATTAATTGATGTATAGAATATAGAAGGAAAAGCAATATGGGATTTAAATAATTAGGTGTTAAGCTTGGTGAGTTTGAGTTATGTGTGGCACATCCAGGAAGAACTCTCCAAGTAAGAAGTGGGAAATAATTAGACTGGAGTGTAGAAGGAAGTGGAGGGCAGAAGGTACAGATTTAAGTAATACTTGGAGCAATAGAGCGTAGTTCTAGAAGCTTTAGGAACAATAAATGGAAAACTTAAAAAATGCTGGGAGAAGAAGGCAAGAGAAAAATTGTAGTTTATTGGAATATAAATTCATTTGAGTATGAATTCTATCTAATACCATCTAAATACTCTAAAGCTAATTTTATTTGAGTATGAATTTTATCTGATACCATTTGAGTATGACTTTTAAAATATGGAAGTACAAATACTGAAACCCCAAAAACATAGTGGTAATTTTGTATAATTGCATTCTGAATGTTTCTGCTTCCATAAGAAAGTTTGAGTTGATGTGATTTTCTTTTAAATGTGAAGTCTCATAGAACAAGAATCTCTTTTTGCATATATTACTGTGCTATATAGTATTGTCACTACCTTTTTAATAATGTTTGGTCATTTTTACGTCATTTTGTGTTATTTATTGAATGCCTTCTTCAGTCAGTTGCAGTATGTTCAGTTGATGAAAAAATATGGCTTCTGCTTTACTAGTACATTAAGAAGATACCTTTTCAGCCTAGGAATTGAATTCTTTTTATTGTTTACATTCAACAGAGGCCTATTTCAATTTGAAAGCAAGAGAGGTTGAATAAAGATTTATTAAAGTATTAGAGCTTATAGTGAGGAAGAAAAGCTACTACATTTGAGTAATGTATCTCTGATATTAGAGTTAAATTGTAACAAACATGAAGGTTAACCAGATTCATATAAATTTGAATCTGTAAAGAATCTTAATGATTATCTAGGTCATTGGTTCCAGACTATTTGGATTTCACAGACCAGAAAAATATTTATTTGAGGATTGATGCAGAATAGCTAACATTTTTATTTTAGTGTATAAGAACTTTAAAAAAAAACAAAAGGGATGACTTCACCCAGCCTGCGTGGCTCAGTGGTTGAGTGACCTATGAACCAGGAGATCAAAGTTCAGTTCCTGGTCTAGGGCACATGCCTGGGTTGCGGGCTCGATCTCCAGTAGGGGGCGTGCAGGAGGCAGCCGATCAATGATTCTCATCAGTCTCTCTCTTTCTCTCTCTCTCTCTCTCTCTCTCTCTCTCTCTCTCTCTCCCCCTCCCCCCCTTCTTCTCTGAAATCAATAAAAATATATTTTTAAAAAAGATAACTGCTTTCTTCTGCGATCATTTTATTAAGAAAAAGACATTTTTAAAGCCAAAAATAATAGCAAGAATAGTTCTTGAATTAAAATAATATGTAATCTATAAATTAAAACCATCCTAGTTTCCAATTTTTTCATTTTGCTGCATATCACTGAAAACTTGAACAATTGGTCACTTGAAATGTAGACTTGTATTTGGGAATTATTGACCTAAGTCACAGAGCTAGTTTGTTTATTTTTGCTTCTGAGTTTTTTTTTACTGTGTTAAAAATATATGTAACACAGCCAGTTTATAAATGAGATCAGGTCTTATGTTCTTTGGCTTCTAGTCTCAGCCTTTTTTACTGTTCTGAAAGATCTTTAGTAATTTAAACATTGTTCTTTGCTTTTTGGCTTTTTAAAATATATTGTAATTATTGTTAGACCTATGGTTAAAAGTAAGAATAAACTTTACTGTTCTTCAGAATTGTTCCTTGGCCTTTTCCTAATTTGGCCTATGTGGACAAAACAAATCTGGTTCAATCTTTCACTGCCATTCTTCTTTCTGTTTCTTTTGTTTTTTAAAATTTTTAAATCCTGACCCGAGGATATTTTTCCATTGTTTTTTAGAGAGAGTGGAAGGGAGGGAGAGAGAAACATCAATGTTAGAGAGACACATTGATTGACTCCCACAGGCTCCTGACCAGGGCTGGGAAATGAGCCTGCAACCGGTGCACATGCCCTTGACCAGAATCAAACCCAGGACCCTTCAGTCTACGGGCCAATGCTCTACCTACTGGGCCAAACCAGCTAGGGCATTCTCTTTTTTTAACCTTCTGTTTTTGTGTGTATTCCACATAGGCTTGAAATAGTTTATAAGACTGCATATTGTAAAATAGAAAAAATAGTATTTTTACATATATATCTATGTACGTATATGAAAAAATGTCAGGACCAAGAGGAGAAATCACGTATTGATGTATATATTTTTTAATCTCAATGCACACTTTTCCATCTTCTTATTTTGCTAGCCTTAATTCATTCAAGTCTAGTGTTTTCCCTTATTTCAGTAAATGTTAGCGATTAACTGATTTTTGCTAGTCAGTTTTAGACCATCATTCTAATAGATAAAAATCATATTTAGTTAATTGTAGGCACAGTAAGTAAGCAATTTATATTGAGGCTTAACCTTAACTATATAGCAGATTTTACTTTATTCTTATTTGACAAATGAAAAAAAAGAAACTTAAGTTTGGGAAAATTTTCTAACTTGTCCAAGTTTATACATAGCTAGTAAGTAGAAAGCTGGGGTTTGCACTTTAATGCAGTGTTTACATCTTAACTATTGAGAAAATACTAAGGGGGTCTTCAGGTTTTATTAGATTCAGAAGTTATTGTTAAAGATAGAATAGGATTCATTTCTGTATTTTTTTCTGTATTAGTATTATGTGAAAATACAACCTCTAGTGAAAATTTGGGGATATACAGTACCTGGTAACAATTGTAGATACTTACGTTTTTAGAAAAGTGGTATCCAATGGGATTTTTGAGATCTGCTAACTTTGAGATCTTTTAGATCAGTGTTACAACAGGACATTGCATCATCTGATTGAGATTGGTAAATCTTGGCTCAGTCAGGTAAATTCATATAGATAATTTAAAACTAGGAAAACTAGTGTGAATAATAACAGCCTTACTAAACTTATTTACTAACTACATCTCTCAATATATCTGTATAAAAGTCAGTGAAATAAAATTTTTTAGTATGGTGAAATCTATTTTAAATTAATTTTTTTTAATTTCAATTTTAGTTACTGCTCTTTTAAGGAAGCTTAAACAGCAATCCAGGGAAAGTGTTGAAGAAAAACGACCTCGATTATTAAAAGCCCTGAAAGAGGTAGGCTGTATTTCTTTGCTGATTTTGTATTCAAAGAATAATTGTAAGTGTGATTTTAAGCATTTTTTAAAATATAGTCTAATTTCTCACTAATTATTAAGGGTCAAAAAGTGGTAAAAATCCTGCTTAAGTTAAGCAATAATAATATAACAAAATACTCTGATTATGATGTATAAATATACTCTTAATGGGAACCACCATTCACTTTGAACTAGGAAAGTAAATAAAGAATTATTGCTTTCTTAGATGAGAGCTCTAAGAAAAAAGGAGGTAGGTCATAGTTAATGGCAATAATTTTTCTTTGTCCTTTGGATTAAAAGATTTCTAAGAGCTGCAGCCCCTGCTTCTAGCAAGAGCAGTTTGCATTTTCTTTATATAATTCTTTTTGTGCCCTACCTCTTGATGGTAAGAGCTGGGAGTGCTGGCATAGAAAGAGAGGTTTATTTTCTGATGTTTTCTTCTGTATTTTTGATGGCTAAAAGGACTGTGGAAGAAAGATAGACCTGTGATGATGATTATGTCTTTTCTTAGGTATGCCTTTTTTTTTTTTTTTGAGCTCTGAAGATATAATTTTTTTTTTTTTTAGAATATTTGATTATAATAGTTTCTTTAACAGTTATAGTCTTTGGGTGTTTAGTTTTTAATTTGTGAAATAAAATTTTACTCTGTAGTTCTCATATGGTGACATATTATTTCAGATTTAATAAACCTTTGTGTTATTACTTTGCAGAGATAAAAGTTTCTATTATAATGGATTGTTTTTTTAGACCATTATGAGGCTATATAAATAATCATTTTGGAAATCATTTTTTATAACACTTCTAAAGTTATTAACTATTTTTACAATAATACTTATTGTTATTTTAGTTATGCTGAGAAAAGGAATATTTATTTATGCAAATTTAAATGTCTATCAGTTTCAGATATTTTCCTATGTAATTAAAATGTTATAAAACCTATAGTGCATATTTTCCTTTGTAGATAAATGTGTGCTATTGTAATGTTTTATTTTAAATAATGGACATTATTTTCTTTTTCTCTAATCTAAACATTGAAATTTTCTATTTTTGTCTATAGATCTTAAATGATAACAGATTTTTAAAAAGCAAAATGTTAAGTAGATATAAGAACTATTAACTAAGGTGCATTCAGTAATTATTCATATTTCATTTTCTAGCTAGGTGACTTTTATCTAGAACTTCACTGGGATTTTCAAAGCTGGGGTAAGAGTGTGCTATGTTTTACTATAACATATGTACATACGCAGAATTGCAAATGTAAAAAACAACTATTGTATATACTTGTTAACATAACAAATTTGATACTTGCCCCAGGAAAATTAATATTTTCCATTATGTTGAATGTAATAAACTAAAGTGGTTGTTTGTAAAGCATTGAAGTGGTATTTCATTATCTCAACCTGATTAGTAACTTTTATAATTTTTATTTTAAGATTAAAAATGTCTTACATTTTTAAACAATGAAATGCAGGTTTAAATATTATAGTACTTTAAGGAATGTTCAGAGGAAGAGAGAACAATTATGAGATTATTAGATTACTGAATTAAAGGAAGTTTGATATAGTACTTGGATCCCTGAATGTGCAGAATTTGGTTAACATTAGATTTTGGATATTTTATCAACTTTCAATCATTTTGGCCACTTTTCCTATATACTTTATAGCTACTGTCTTTTTTCATTTTAATTTTTTTTTTTATTGATTTCAGAGAGAAAGGGAGAGGAAGAAAGACTGAAACATCAGTGATGAGAATCATTGATTGACTGCCTCTTGCACGCCCCCTACTGGGGATCGAGCCCGCAATCTGGCTTGTGCCCTTGACTAGAATCGGGACACTTCAGTCTGCAGGCTGATGCTCTATCCACTGAACCAGACCAGCTAGGGTTATAGCCACTGTCTTAACATACTGTTTGGTTGCACACTGTTTCTATTATTTATGAAAGACCTTAATTCCAAGATATTTTGCAGTCATTTATTTTACCTTAGTAAGTTTCTCTTTTCCCCATTGTTTAAATAGGGAGCTTGATCCTAGTGACCTTAACTAACTAAACAACTGCCAAAACAACTAAATTTTGTTTAAAAGTTTTAAACAAATGTAATGTATATATATGAGCTTACATTTTTTTAAAGCATCTGAATTAATTTTATGATATAAAGATATTTGAATGCTCTATGGTACTTACCCCAAAAATAATTGTAAAAATAAATCATAAAATAATTATAAAAGTAAGATATTGACATTATAGAAATCACTGTTAATGTTTCATACTAATGTTTCGAAATCTTTTTTTAATGTTTACAAATGTGTGAGTGTGGGTGCACAAATATATGCTTAGCATTCTTTTTATAAAAATATATTTTTATTGATTTCAGAGAGGAAGGGAGAGGAAGAGAGAGATAGAAATATCAATGATAAGAAAGAATTATTGATCGGTGGCCTCCTACACATCCCCCACTGGGTATGGAGCCCACAACCTGGGCATGTACTGTGACCCGAATGGAACCGTGACCTCCTGGTTCATAGGTCAAAGCGCAACCACTGACCCACACCAGCTCGGCCTGAGCATTCTTTTTTAATGGAATTATAGTATTATATGATTATACAATTTGTCATTCTTATTTAAAATATCACAGGCATCCTACCATCCTACCAGGCATCCATTCATGAGGAAGTACTTCATTTATTTTAACAGCTTCATAATACTTTACAGCACGGATGATTAAGGTTTTCCTAATGTTTTTCATCTCTAAATGTAAAGTTTTAATTCCTAAATAAAAGTAGTTATTTCCAAAATTGTTACAATTCTACCTGATCAGGCTAGTTTTGGCTTCATCAAAATCACACGTGATTTTGTTATTCTGATAGGCCTACCTTGCCTTTTTGCTTTATATATCATCCAGGAGCCCTGGTGTACTAGACCACTGAGAAGAAAAGAGGTTTGTAGTGGCTTTGAATAATAAAAGAGCTCCAAGTCAAATTGGTCTAAAGTCAAAATACATTTTTTCACTCTGTTTTTTAACATTTTATTGAGACCCTATCTTCCTTGGTGATCTTAAAATAAGGGTGTCCCTTGAGTATAACGGTTCTTTAACTGATTCTCTTAGTAATATTAGTGGTTTAAATTCTAAAATAGTCCATTTATCTTGCTGAGCAAAATGTTTTAAAATATTTTGAAAGTGACAGTTCGTTATATGAAGAAATAGAAATGGATGTAATCACTCCTGAAAGTGTACATACATCCGTAGTTACAAACACATTATAAATGTTGCATAATCAAATTCATGATGGAACCCCTAAGGTAGTTGTTGAAAGTATTGGGGTTTTTTTTGAGAACTTAACTTTGACACAAAAAAGTCAGCACATCTATTTGTTGCTGATAAAGGATTTTTCTGATTTCGTGTCAAACCTAACTCCTGATGGTTAGATGGCATATGTAATTCTAAAAACTAAAACTCATTGACTAGATTTAGCTTAGACACTTTGGATTTAAAAACACTGTATAATTTTTATTATTAGATTCGATTATCAAACTTTATTCTAGAGTTCAGGCATGTTTCTTCTCCTTGTCAAAACCCCTAAAAAAGGGCGGGGGCAACCCAGAAGTAAGGGGGAATCTAAGAAATACTGAGATCCCAGGATTAAGTTTAATTTAAAGGAAGTGGAGCATACAAACTCTACTCTCTTTCCTGTGCTGTCATATTCAGTGTTTGGCTGAAAATAGCCTCAGACTTGATTAAAGTGGGGATAATAATTGCCCCATCTTTTGCAAATTTTTGTTTTGTTGTAAATGAAATGTAATCATGTTTTTGAAGGAAGCCCTATATATTGTAAAATGTTAAATAATTTACAGTATCATAATCACTACTTCAAAATTAGGATTATGCATATAACATGTTTCAACAGAAAAACTGATAATTTAAAAAGTTTCTTTATCTCATTATCTACAGAATATCCATTCTACCCTATATATTTGGGGTTGTTATTTGCATATTATGAATGGAAAACATTAGACTTAGAGATGCTAATTAAAATCAGGAAATAAGTGATAGCAAAACCAAAACTTAAATTTAGAGACTCTTCATTTTTCAGTTCAGTAAATTATGCTACCTTTGGAATGGCATGTTAGACTCTCAGATTATACTGAGCTAACTTAAAATATAGAGTTTAATTGTTCAGTTTACACGGGAAAGGAAAAAGTCATCACAGAATTGGGAAAATATAAATTGCTCTATTTTTAGAATTCATTTCATAGCAGTATTCTTTTTTGTTGATACCATTCCCTCTTTCCATTTGTTTTGTAGCTTTTTTGCCACTCCCCGAAATCCCCAAGCTTCTTTTTTGCATATCCTGATTTTTTATTTTACATAAACATATTAAACATCTTTAAATGCTCTTCAGAAACATTTTCAATTACTACAAGTATATTCCATCATTCTTGTTTTATATTTAAGTGATTTTCTTATTTTCTGCGTTAGATTATTTTCTTGAGATTTATTTATGAAATAATTTTTGAAATTGTGCTTATGAAAAATTACTTCTAAGCATTTTATTTTCTCTTTGCATTCATTTCTTCCTCCTTTTCTGATTTTTCTAAATTTTGTTTTTGTAGGTTTCCATACAATTTCAAAAAATGGAGTAGATTAGGTTAAATTAATTTCGAATGCTATCTTCTGATCATTTTTTTCATGCTACATCAAATACTTGAGGAAGGAAAACTGGATTTCAATTAATGAGCATGAAAGAAGAGCTTTGACCATTGACATAAATTTACACTTCTATTGCTTTTCTCAACTTCTATTGTTTCATATAAGGGATTTTTTTTTTTTTATCAGAAAATGATTTCTTATATACTTTGACTAGGGTAACTGTTAATTGGTATTCCATTCTCTTTGGGCAGTAAACTTTCCTTATTTTTGTATAGTAAAATGTCTAGAAAACAGTCATCATTCCTGGAAATCATTTTAGATTCAATAACCTCTCACGATTTTAAAAAGAAATTGATATATTAAGTGTACTTTTAGTGTTTAGAAAATATTGATACTTCTGAAAAAGCTAACTAAAAAACTAGTCTTTAATTTTCTCTGAAATTTTTGTTTCTTTCTAACCCAGGTTGATTTAGCACCCATTTTAAACACTGAATTTAAAAAAATATACCTGTAGCCCGGCCGATGTGTCTCAGTGGTTGAGTGTTGACCCAGGAACCAAGGAGTCAGGGTTCGATTCCCGTTCAGGGCACATGTCTGGGTTGTGGGCTCGATCCCCAGTAGGGGGTGTGCAGGAGGCAGCCAATCAATGATGTTTCTCATCCATGTTTCTAGCTCTCTATCCCTCTCCCTTCCTCTCTGTCTCAAATTATATATATACACACACACACACACACACACACGTATATATACATATATGTGTAATATATGTGTAAGATATCTATCTGTCTGTCTGTCTGTCTATCTACCTACCTACCTACCTACCTACCTACCTATCTGTATACATGCAACACACTAACATACACATCTGATATGATCTTACTTTCAGGAATCTTGAACTTCATATTTTTTTCTTTTTTGGTATGTGGTAGTTTATTATAACCTGATACACAGATTTATTCATCCATACAATAACTCCTATTTCCCCAAAGTATGGCAGATAATAACTAATAAAAAGCTATCAAAAGATAGCTGTGATATGAATGTGAGCAACATGGAATATAGACATCTATAAGTAAACAGTAGGATTCCATTTTATAGATTTTGAAACTGAGGTTCAGTGTGCTTAAGTAACCAAGGTCACATATTTGGGATTCAAACTCAAATTCAGTTATTTAGATTTAAAAACGTCTTTTTCTGTTATACACATTACTTTCTACTATCTATCTATTTACTACTAGCCTGGTGCACGAAAATTCGTGCACTCGGAAGGGGAGGTTCCTCAGCCCGGCCTGTGCCCTCTCGCAGTCCGGGAGCCCTCAGGGGATATCCAACTGGCGGGGAGTGGGCCTAAGCTGCAGTCTGGCCTCCCTCTGCGGGAGGTGACCAGCGGGCCGATCGGGACGGCACAGGTGGCGAGTGGCCGACGCCGCCCCCCATTGCACCACTGCTGCCGGTAGCCTCCCTCTGCAGGAGGCGACCCCGGACAGCTGATCTGGGGATGGCAAGCAGCTGGCCTCACCCTGAATTGCCCCACCACAGTCGCCGGTGGCCTCCCTCTGTGGGAGGCGACCCCAGCGGGCCAGTCTGGGGACAGCAAGTGGCTGGCTCTACCCTGAATCGCCCCGCCGCTGCCCCCCTCCCCATCACCATCCCCTCCCTCTGCCCGCTGGCATGTGCCCGCTGGTCTGGAGTCACCTGTTCGCTGGCCCCACCCCCCACCCATTGGTCGTTCCGCTGTTTGGTCAATTTGCATATTATGCTTTTATTATATAGGATTTATTTATTCTAAAATTTATTTTTATTGATTTCAGAGAGGAAGGGAAAGGGAGAAAGAAACATCAGTGATGAAAGTGAATCATTGATTGGCTGCCTCCTGCACACATCCTACTGGGGATCAAGCCTGCAACCCAGGCATGTACCCTGACAGAGCATCAAACTGTGACCTTCTGGTTTATAGGTTGATGTTCAACCACTGAGCCACACCAGCTGGGCTATTTTCTACTATTTAATCACATTATATTTAAAGGATCAGATAGGATTCAGGTCCATCCAGTTACCCATTTAGGAGGGTTTAGTTACCAAAGGGCATAGTTTTCTCATCCTGTCCAATAAAGAGGGGATATGCAAATTGACTGTCACTCCGTCACAAAGATGGCGCCCAGTCCCCTCAACCCCACCAGAGTCACCCAGTCCTTTCAGGCCCGCTGGGGGGAGGGGGGTGGCAGGCGTATGGTGCGGCCAGACCCGCCCTCAGCCCCCCAGCTGCCCAGGGCCGGCCTGAGGCACAGGCAAGCCTCGGATGTCGGCTGCTCAGCAAGCCTTGGATGTCGGCTGCCCAGCTGCCTAGCCCAAGGCGCAGGCAAGCCTCGGATGTCGGCTGCCCAGCTGACGCCCGAGGTGCAGGCAAGCCTCAGATGGTGGCTGCCCAGCCAATGCCCGAGGCGCAGGCAAGCCTCAGATGGCGGCTGCCCAGCTGCCCAGCTGCCCAGGGCCGCCTGAGGCTCAGGTAACCAGGGCCGGCCGAGGCTTGCGCTGCCTGCAGTGGCAGCAGCAGAGGTGTGATGGGGGCGTTGCCTTTTCCTGATTGCTGGGTCGCCTCCCGCCCCTGAGGGCTCCCGGATTGTGAGAGGGGGCAGGCCGGACTAAGGGACACCCCCCTCCAGTGCATGAATTTTCATGCACCGGGCCTCTAGTCTATAATAATATCCTACAATATATATCCACAAGGAACATTATATCAACTCTGCTACTGGTGGTGTGCAGGGGTGGTGGTGGGGAATGTGGTGAGCTATACCGCAAATACAATTAAATAATAGATACTTGAAGTTGCTCAAAATTGCTTTACATATATTTTAGGTGGGAAAATACTATTTCAAAAGAAATTATTATAATTTTGATGAACATTCCTAAAATGTTCATGTTATTCTTCTAATTAATTTTTACCTCTTCTTTTTAAAAAATATAGTGCCTTTACTTTCCCGAATTCTGCCTTCCGATGCATGTAAAATATACAAACAAGGTATCAATATCAGGTAAGGTGATTTGATTTTTTTTCCTGAGTAATAGAAAATCGAGATTTAGAAGAATCTTTCCCCTTACCCCTCTAGTAATAGCTTACATTAGGATGTAGTATAACTTAAACATGCTGTAATAAAGTCACAACATTTTATCTCATTTGAGACATACTATATACAGATAACCAAAGGTATCAACTCTTGACTAAAACAAAGGTATTATTCTTATTCAACTACAGAATATCTAGAAGGCAAACAGTGAAGAACATGATGTAATACTAAGAAGATTTAAGATGGTCATCTCCTTGATCCTGGCTTTTTAAGGAATAAGGGACACATAAGTAGAAGACCTAATTCTTGTCCTTCTTTCCCTACTCTTATACCCTTCTGTTCCCAATGTACCCATCCATGAATCCATTCATCTGTTCAATCATTTATTCTAGTGAACTTTTTAACACTAAATTTAATATTCTTCTGTTTCTTTTTAAAACTTAAGATTGATGATTGGATCATGTGGAAAATCTGTTTTACTCATTTCAGAATTTTACTTTTATCATTCCTTATTATCTTTAGCTTTATATTAATGTAGGTATATTTGTAAATTAGGTATATGGAAGTTATATATAATGCTAGTGAATACGCCTCTATATATATATATATATATATATATACATATATATATATATACACACACACACATACATACATATATATGTATATTAGTATATTTATAAATTATATATACATATATACAGTATTACATATATATCTTTATACATATCCAGAATATTAATTTGGATTTGGATATCTAAGAGGTTAGAACTGGAAATGTCTTAAAATATTATTTCATGTAAACTGTTTTTTTATAGATGAGAAAGTGAAGTGATTTTTACAGGAGCACTTTGCAAATTAGTAGCTGAGCCAGGACCTCCAACTTCCTGTCAGTTCCCACCATGTCACAAGGCAGAAATTTTAAAAAACTAACTATATAAAATTCACTATGTAATATGTTGAATTTAGAGGAAGAGATAACCTTTAGTTGGAAGTAAGTTCTAGGTTAATTATTCTCAAGCAGTAGAATTAGATTAAAGTAGAAGTTTCTAAATTTTTGTTTTTTAAAAAAATAACCTCTTCAGAAGTTTCTAATTATGATAGTGCTCATGCACATTAAGTTCATGGTAATTATAGAAACCTTGGAAATTACAGAAAAATATACAAGAGAAACTAGGAAAGGATTTGATAATGATGTAGGTTTAATTCAGCAGCCCATTGTTAACAGTATATTATGGATTCATAAAAAATTATTCATCAATTTAAAAATGTTTAATATAGGCACTTGCCAAAGGTAGTAGCTAATTTGGGAGAATAGTATTTTATTCCATGTGTTATACTTTAAGGTTAGTTTCAGTTTTGTTTGATTTTTAGAAATAGCAAAAAAGGAGGAACTTTCTCTTTTAAAAAATTATATCACATTTATATATGACTTTTGGAAGTAAATTTTATTATGAATATTATGTAATAAATATAGATAATAAAACCACCAAATGGTTAAAATGGAGACATGAAAATAGGAGCCTGTGGGAGAATCATTGTTATAGAAATGTAGGTTAAGAGGAAGCTGCTTTAATGTAGTAAGACACTCAGACCTAGGGCTTACACGCAGCTGAGGATGAAGGAGAAATGTGATAAGTTCCAAAGCTCTTTATTTCTAAACAAAGTTTACCACAACATTAATGGAAAGGCTGGATTTTAGGAAGCTTGGCAAAGTTTTTTTGCCTATATGACAAGAATTGACTTTTAAAAAATATGTTAACATTAAATAAAAACTTTCAAATTTAAATGTCAAAAGACTTAGTTTTTTAAAACATCACTTCAAATAAAGCTGAATTTTAAATATATCAAAGAAATCTCTAAAGTTTACTCATACCTCATGACAGGCATCTGATCATGTAAATATGTTCTTTGGTGTCAAGGAGAGATGAATACTTTATTTTTTATTTTTTTATTAATATTTAAACTTTTAAAAAAATATATTTTATTGATTTTTTTACAGAGAGGAAGGGAAAGGGATAGAGAGTTAGAAACATCGATGGAGAGAGAGAAACATCGATCAGCTGCCTCTTGCACACCTCCCACTGGGGATGTGCCCGCAACCAAGTTACATGCCCTTGACCGGAATCGAACCCAGGACCTTTCAGTCCGCAGGCCAATGCTCTATCCACTGAGCCAAACCGGTTAGGGCGAGAGATGAATACTTTAGTAGAAATAGGAAAGTGTGAGCAGCTTTATTGTTGTGAATACTAAAATATTTTCACTATTAATTTTAATAATTTGAGGTGATCTGTACCCACTGACTGAAATGATCATTGCAAACTTTGCCCCATTTCAGGCTTTTCCTGTCTCAAGAGAAGGCTCTATTTCCTTTTTCAGGGCTATTTGGCATTTTTCAAGTTTTTATATCAAAAAATATTTTCTGTTTAAATCTTTGCATTTATATAAAGATTTTTTTGTTCTTCATAGCCATTACATGTCAAAAATTAATATTTAGGTTCATAGGCTTAAAGGGAAGGAATAGTTAATACATTAAAATATCATGATACATTTTATCATTATGAGGCATGTGAGATATTTATTAGGCCATATAATATGTCAGGGATATTGCAGAAGATGTATTAGGTAGTCTTATTTCAATTGCAAATTATAAAAGTACAGATGAAATAAAAATTGACTGTTACTGATTTTAGGTGTGACTACATCTAGGAGCTTAAATATCACCATGTAAATCTATCTCTGCCTCTCTTTGTATCTCCTTTCTCAGTATTTTCACCCTTACCCCTTGCAACTCACTACCACTGTCATCCAGGATGGGAAGGAATGGAATGGAGGCAGAGACTGTTCTGGCCACCCACCCTTTTTAAAAAGTTTTTTTATGTGGGGTGTAGAGTTTCCTGATAGCTAAAGCTTAGAGTCCAAATAGGGCACTTACATAAATTGATCTGTTTCTTTTTGATACTAGCAGTAGCCACACCTTATAAAGGGAAGGGATAAGCCCCTTTAACTAGCATTATTTTCTCTTATGCCATATGTACACGCAACAACAGGACATGTTTAGCAGTACAAGCACTAGTAGTGCAATAGCAGGCCACTGGCAGCAGATCAGAAGCCACAATTCAGTTATAAAGCAGCAGACAGGGTTCATCCCTACAGGAGTTGGTGACTTGCTTTTTTTTAGTTCTTCTTGATTTCATTCTGAGGGAATATGTATATTTTATATGGCTCAGAAAAGAGCTCCTTGCACATAGGATAATCAAACTTTCCTATTTGGTCTGGTTCATCCCTGTTACCCTCGTAAAATTATTAATAGGATCACTTTCACTTTTTTTAAAAAAGTTTTTTATTGATTTGAGAGAGAGAGGGAGAGAAACATTGATCTACTGCCTCCTGCACACCCCCTACTGGGGATTGAGCCCACAACCTGGGCATGTGCCCTGACCTGGAATCGAACCAGTGACCTCTTGATGCAAGAACGACACCCAACCAACTGAGCTACACCAGTCAGGGCTCACTTTTATTTTTAAAAATAACCCTCTTTATTCTTTTGATGCAGTATGTGAGATGTTTCATTTCTCAGCTTTTTTGTGTAGGGAAACCAAGAATGCCCATTCACTTTGCCTTGTCCAGGGTGAAAACTGAAAAGCCTACAGAGTAATGAATTCTTATAATTTCATTAGAACTCAGTAGTTGGAGTGGATCTTTTACAGAGACTTAAAGGTGTTTCCTTGGGCATGATCACCATCATGTAACAAATGTGTCAACCCATTTCTTAGATTAAGGACTATGTTTTGAGCAGTTAGTCAGAGAGGTCCTGATGTGATCTACAAAGTGTTCAAAGATTGAAGGACTTTAGGGTACTTGGGAACTTTTCCATTCCAGTATTCTCCCTAATTTCAGCAAGTAGTAATTTGTGAAATTTGAGACCAATTCATTGGGGTAGACTGTCAGGTCTTGGTTACCAAAGAGCACAATAAATACACTAAAGTGAATCTGTGAGCTTTTGACATAGGAATGATCCATAAGATTTTCAAGCTGTGGAGATGTTGGAAAAGAGAATGCTAATTGAATCTAGGAAGTTAAACAGAAAGGCTAAAAGACTTTGGGATAAGTTAAGCGGGTTACCAAGTGGAAGGATGAAGCAAGTTTTGGTACCCGATGGTTAGGGATAGGGCATAGATATAGAGCAAAAGGCCAAGAATGTGGTACATCCATTGCTTTTACAACCTTCTTAATTACTCTGCTGAGTCAGTAACATGGTCTTAAAGGAATCAAAGAATATTAGACAGGTTTGCTTTCTTTTTCTGTCCTGAAGTTGTTATTTTTATGGAGTAGTTACAGTAAGGGAACTACTGTAACAAAGGGAACAAAGGCACAATACTTCAACAATGGGGAAACAATCTTTATTAGAGTATATATTCAGAAAAATGAAATACAAGTAAAATGGAATATATTTAAATATCCTTTTGGTGTGTTTTTTTTTTTTTTAAATAAGATACTTTAAATGCAGTTGTGTGTGTTTTTCTCTAAATTTGACTTTGAAATATGGTATTAGCATCTTGGTTTGAGTTTAGAAGGAACAAAGTTTGGTTTAATTATTATGGATTGTTATTGAAATTTATTTGTCAGAATTTCTCATCCACATATCTTTCACAGGCTTGACACTACTCTCATTGACTTTACTGACATGAAGTGCCAACGAGGGGATTTAAGCTTCATTTTCAATGGGGATGCAGCACCCTCTGAATCTTTTGTAGTATTAGACAATGAACAAAAAGTTTATCAGCGAATACACCATGAGGTGAGCATTCCTCTAAATGGTTTTTAAAAAATGTCTTTGTATGGAACCAAGTGTCAGTGTAATTGTTTCAAAGGGCTTAAGGTATAATTGCGATTGATCCTAAAGCTTTTATTTTCTTACTACTAGTTTTTTAATTTAATTTAATTTAATTTTATATATTATCATCCGGTTTTCATCTTGATCAAGCCAGTGAGTCTGTTTGCTCATAATTCACTGATGATCTGCTAGTTAGGTGAACTCCATTTTCTCTTAGTTCTTATTTGTTGAACCTGCGCTGTCCCTTTCGCCATTTATTATCTTACAACCGTAGCTTCTTTTAAAATGTTACTGACCATCCCTATCTCTTTATCTGTACTTTGATCCTCTGTCTGTACTCTTATTTTTCCTCACTCTTTGGCTGCCTTTCTTTTATCTTTTTCTTCTTAAAGTACAAAATTATCTTCCTTTCATCACATCAGAAATCTATGTTGGTGTTGCCTACCCAACCACCATTGAAAACTATATGCACCATTATCCTCATCCTTTAATTTCCTGAATGCCCCTTTCCCTGCTTTTAGAGATGCTGGAAAGACAAAGCTTTTCTAGTATCTCTATCATTGATAGTACTACAAAATTTTCTTAGTCAACATTTTGTTTTGTCACTTTTTAAATTTTGTTGTTATTTTTCACCACTTCATTTCTGCATATTGTCATTCACCACATCTTATGGTTCCTTCCTCAACATCTCTTAGATTAGAACTTCCTACTACCATATCTGTTGATGAGACCTTAGTTACCTTGTATGTGTACTATTGAAAAGTAGTGCACGAGCAATGAGCAATGAAGATTTAGATTGGAAGAGGAGAAGGTATTCCTTGTGGAGCACACAGGGTGAGTAAAGTCAGGGAAGTGGGAATAAGAATGGTCTTTTGGGGAAACAGAAAAGAGATCTGAGTAGAGTGAAGTTTTCTCTTATTGAGTATGCAAACATGGTTTATGGCAGGGATTAAAAGCCAGAAAGATAACTTAGGATTTGCTGTAGTTAGTAACAAAGTCATAGATTCTTAAATTATTGCTATGATCTAAAAGTAATTCAAGTGAATTAATCTTAAGTATTTCTTTCACTTTCCCTCCCTTCCTTTCTTAAACATTTATCAAGGACCTAGTAAATGCTAGACACTTCTAAATGCTATGGATAGTGGATCTGTATTAATAGTGTATATCCATTATTATTATATATATTATTATATTAAGCATTAATTGCCAGCATATTGGAACTATTATTTAAGTACTTTAATTAAAAAGTATTTATCATTAAATTCTTAAAATAACCTATCGAAGTAAATACTTTTATTATCTTCATTTTTTTGTCTTTTTGCTTTATTGTTATGAAGCATCTTTAAAATTACATATGTTAACAAAGCCAGTATAAACTTTGATTACTTTGTGAAAAGTTGAGTGAGCTTACCCTCTCTCTGCCATGCTGTTACTTAACTGTAAAGAACACCTGGCCCTAAAAGGTTGGATTCATTTTCCCCTGGGGAGGGATTATCTTCATTTTACACATGAGAAAATTGAGGCTTACAAATATTAAATGACATGTTCAAGATCACATAGCTGATATGCAGAATGGATTGGAAAAGGAAGAGATTGGAGGCAGGGAAGTTATGGTTATACAGTTTAGAGGTGATGAGGTTCTTAACTAAGATGGTGTAGTGAATAATTAAGAAAGAGAAATTATGACATATTTCCAAGAATGAAATAATAGGACTTGCTAAATAGGTTGAGTGAATTAAGAATTGGAAAGATTTAAGGGTGAGTGTAGTGATTCTGTCTTGAAGAGTGGAATGACGGTTTCCACTGATAAAGTTGGGTTATTTGGAAAAGGAAATAGGTTTGGGGTTTTGGATAATGCTCATTTTGAGTCCATTGCTAAAACCAGCACACTTATTTCAACCTTCTCTTTATTAGACTTCTTTGAAGTATTTGCTATTATTGATAACTCAGTTCTTAAAATTTTCATTTCCTTATGAATTGACCTTCGTCTGTTGTTCTTTTCTCTCCATCTTATTCTCCTATCCCTGTTCCCTACTCACCTGTTTAATCTTGATTTGCCTCTGATGTGGTTCTTATTTTTACAAACTGGCAGAATAATCTCTTCTATTCTCACAAAGTATATATTTGTAACTCCAGATAAATCTTCTGAGTGGAGACCTATCTACTCAAATGGGATATCATGTATGTCTCCAAGATAACTTCAAAATTTAGTTTGTCTAAAGCTAAACTCATTATTTTCCCTCCAAACCTGCTTTTTTTTTTTTTTTCCATTTTCCTTCTTTTGGTGAATGACATCATTTTCTATTCATCCAGATAACTGAGAATTATTTTTGGCATCTTTTCTTATACTCCATGTTTTCTAACTAGAGATTATGTATAGTCATTTCTGTTTCCCTGTGTCTAATAAATATCCCTTTTTTATTCATAGTGTTAATGCCTCAATTTAGATATTCATTGTCTTTCAACTCGACTATCACAAGTCTTATAAATGATCTTCCTGGCCCCCTTCTGTTCTGCTTCTAAATTATCTCACATATTGGGGGTTGAATGTTGAAAACAAATTTATGAAACCTGCCTTCTTTAAAGACATTTTAAAGTTTCCTATTCCTAAAGAGTGAAATCCACATTCCTTAGCATGCCATGGTTACTTCTGTGACCTGGCTTTTCCAGCCTTTTTCTTACTTTGCTGTCTTAGATACAGTAGTACTTATCTCTTTGCAATTTTTCAGACATGCCAGGCTATTTACCGTTTATTTTATTGTTCACATTGTTTCCACTTCCTGGAATGCCCTTCTTCTTGCACCTTCATACTTAAGGGGCACTGCTTAGTGTCACTTCCTCCCCTGCCAGGTGACCATTGTTTTCTTTATGCTTTCGCTGAATATGGTATCAAAGACCCTCTTCTGCTATTTGTTTATGTGGCTGCCTTCCTTTGTGGGGTTAAGCTCCTCAAGGTTATGGGGTTCATTTAGTTGTAGTCTCTGGTACCTGATACAGCATCAGTACTTTCTAGGCCAGAGTTTGGGAACCTTTCGTAAAGGTATAGATCAGCGGTTCTCAACCTGTGGGTCGCGACCCCTTTGGGGGTCGAATGACCCTTTCACAGGGGTCGCCTAAGACCATCGGAAAACACATATATAATTACATATTGTTTTTGTGATTCATCACTATGCTTTAATTATGTTCAATTTGTAACCATGAAATTGGGGGTCACCACACCATGAGGAACTGTATTAAAGGGTCGCGGCATTAGGAAGGTTGAGAACCACTGGTATAGATAATAAATATTTTAAATATATTTGCATGCCATATGGTCTCTGTCACAACTACTCAACTCTGCTGTGATTAGTATAAAAGCAGCCAGAGATATTATGTACATGAATAATGAAAAATGTAGTGGATTGGATTTGGCCTGCTGGCCATAGTTTGCTGACCTTTCTTATAGATTCAGATATTTATTAAAAAATTTGACCTATTGCATATTAAATGAGAATAGCACAGCTAACTAGGCAGAGGTAAGTGGAAATATGGTACTGAAAGAGAAACCAAAGATTAAGGCTAGTAGTGTAAACATTAGCTGATGTTATAGTATTGATGAAGTCACCAAAGGACTGGTATTTAAGGTATGTATATGTGTGTATTTTATGCCTAAAACTTACAGATAAGCTGGATTTTAAGAAATAATCCTTAAGAAGGAAATACTTGTTTATTCTAATGTGCATTTATAAGTAATACCTGTTCAATAAATGTTTGTTGAATAGATGTAACAGTTTTTTTTCAATGATATGGTGATGATCAGTCTATGATTTATAGAAAAGTTCTGTTCTAAAAGTTTATTTAAAAATAGGGTGTTTGAACCAAGGCAAATTTCTTCACAGTCTTATATGTAATGTTGTTCTCAAGCTAATACACAAAATCCTAATTGATTATAATATATTTGAAAGATAATGTCTGACAGTTCTGTATAACCTATGTCTGCCCAAAATTTTCTTAAGAAAATTGTGTTCTGAATTAGTTTGGGTTACCAGAAATACATTTGTACCTTAGCATTAATGTCAAGAGTTTCCATTCCTCACTTGTAAGGGTGAAGGAAATGGTACTATCCCAGTCCCAAGGTATTGCTGTTTTTTCTATAGACGATAGATTAAGAATTGGACTATGCCGAAACCGGTTTGGCTCAGTGGATAGAACGTCGGCCTGCGGACTGAAGGGTCCCAGGTTCGATTCCGGTCAAGGGCATGTACCTGGGTTGCGGGCACATCCCCAGTAGGAGATGTGCAGGAGGCAGCTGATCGATGTTTCTCTCTCATCGATGTTTCTAACTCTCTCTCTCCCTTCCTCTCTGTAAAAAATCAATAAAATATATTAAAAAAAAAAAAGATTGGACTATATCTGGGTGAAAGTTCAGTGGTGAAAAATAGAAAATGGGCCTCTTGGTAATCTACACTAATAAAAGAGAAACATGGTAATTAGCGTACGACCGCTACCCTTTTCATTGGCTAATCAGTGAGTATATGCAAATTAACTGACAACCAAGATGGCGGCCGGCAGCCATGCACTGAAGCAAACAGGGAGGCTTGCTTGCTCCAGTGACTGGCTGACTCCAACGTTCCCCGCCTGCCGCTGCCGGCCTCTGACCTGGCAGTTTGAAACATTGTAACAAATATAGAAGCTAAACAAAACCCCAGAAACCAGCTTTCAGCCGCCGGGATCTCAGAGCTGGAGTTATACATTGTTTCGATTATAGAATGCAAACAAACCAGATACCTGCTTTCAGCAGCAGAAGCCTCAGAGCTAGAGCCAGAGCTAAAGCTGGCCCAGAATAAAAAAAGAAAAAAAAGAAAAAAAGGAGCGGTTGGGAGCTTCAGTCCATCGCCAGCCTGAAAGCAGCCCTCAGCCCCTCACCCAGACTGGCCAGGCACCCCAGTGGGGACCCCCACCCTGAAGGGTGTGTGACCAGCTGCAAACAGCCATCATCCCCTCATCCAGGCTGGCCAGGCACCCCAGTGGGGACCCCCACCCTGATCCAGGACACCCTTCAGGGCAAACCAGCCGGCCCCCAGGCCTCTATCCTATATAGTAAAAGGGTAATATCCCTCCCAGCACCGGGATCAGCGGAGCTGTGAGGCCTCTTGGCACCGGATCAGCGTGACAGGGGGCAGCGCCCAAACCCCCTGATCGCCCTGCAGCTCTGTGTGTGACAGGGGGCGGGGCCACAACCTCCCTATCCGCCCTGCTCTGTTTGTGACAGGGGAAGGTGCCCCAACCCTCTGATCAGCCCTGCTCTGTGCCTGATAGGGGGGAGCTCCCCAACCCACCGATCGCCCTGCGGCTCTGTGTGTGACAGGCTGCGGCGCCCCAACCCCCTGATCGACCCTGCTCTGTGTGTGACAGGGTGCAGCGCCCCAACCCCCCCACCCCATGGGCCCTGCTCTGTGTGTGATGGGGTAGAGCCATAACCTCCCCATCAGCCCTGCCCTGAGTGTGACAGTGGCGGCGCCCCAACCCCCTGATCTGCCCTGCTCTGTGGGTGATAGAGGGCGGCGCCCCAACCCCCTGATCCGCCCTGCTGTGTGTGTGACAGGGGGCGGTGCCCTAACTCCCCTATCGGCCCTACTCTGTGAGTGACAGGGGGGAGCTCCTCAACCCCCTGATCAGCCCTGCTCTGTGCATGACAGGGGGGAGCTCCCCAACTTCTTGATGGGCCCTGCTCTGTGCATGATAGGGGGGAGCTCCTCAACCCCCTGATGGGCCCTGTTCTGTGCGTGACGGGGTGGCGCCGCAACCTCCCCATCGACCCTGCCTTGAGTGTGACAGGGGGCGGTGCCCCAACCCCCCAATCGGCCCTACCCTGAGCGTGACTGAGGGTGGCATCGCAACCTCCCAATCCGCCCTGCTCTGTGCCTGACAGGGGGCGGCGCCCCAACTCCCCAATCAGCCCTGCTCTGAGCCCAACCAGGGGCTGCACCTAGGGATTGGGCCTGCCCTCTGCCACCCAGGAGCAGGCCTAAGCCAGCAGGTCATTATCTCCCGAGGCATCCCAGACTGCGAGAGGGCACAGGCCGGGCTGAGGGACCCCCCCCTTCCCCCCCAAGTGCACAAATTTTTGTGCACCGGGCCTCTAGTCTATAATAATAAAAGTGTAATATGCTAATTCGACTGGACAGCCAAACGACCTTCTGGACGAAGCTGGGGCTACGAGGGTCTAGGCAAGCCACTGCAGCTGCAAGGGCCAAGCCCTTTGCACGAATTTTGTGCATCGGGCCTCTAGTATACAAATAAGGAGGTGTGGGAAATCAGGCCTCTCGACCAGTGGTTGCCAACCTGTGGGTCACGACCCCTTTGGGGGTCCAACGACCCTTTCACAGGGTTCGCCTAAGACCATCGGAAAACACATATATAATTACATATTGTTTTTGTGATTCATCACTATGCTTTAATTATGTTCAATTTGTAACAATGAAAATACATCCTGTATATCAGATATTTATGTTACGATTCATAACAGTAGCAAAATTACGGTTATGAAGTAGCAACGAAAATAATTTTATGGTTGGGGGTCACCACAACATGAGGAACTATATTAAAGGGTCGCGGCATTAGGAAGGTTGAGAACCACTGCTCTAGACATTGTAAACTTCATGCACAGTTCTCATTCTCCAGTGAGCTCTCTAGATTCTGCGTTTTATTCTCCCTTTTTTTTGTGTTTCTACTTGAGTCTCTTTGATCCTAAGTATCAGAGACTCTCTTGGCCTGTTAAAGATAGAATCTCATCTTTTACCTGCTCACTTACCCTTCTGTACCTGATTTCTTAATCTTCTGTTCCTGAAACAAACACAAAGCTTTCTCTTTTTTCTCATTTAAAAAATAATTATTGATCACGTATTATATGTGAGCACTGGAGAATATGCAGAGAATAAAACCAGAAGTGAGGCTACTTACTTATCAAGTTTAGAAATCATAGGTTGATATGTATGGATTTCTTTTTTCCCCCCAAGAAATACAGAGCAAATCCCTCTGGACTGCTTTTCTTTCTTCCTTCCCTTCCTTCCTTCCTTCCTTCCACTTAAGAACTATTGAGAAAGAGAGGCTCAAATGATAGTGGTCGGTCTTTAGATTAAAAAGAAATGAAGTAAGATTCATCTTTGTTGAAAGAAAATGAAACCTTCATATGGACATTTTGTCTCACACCTGTCAATTTAATTCTTTAAGTAATCTTTTAAAATTGCCCTACATTATCTATAACAGTGTAAGAGTACAGTATTTCATGTATCCTGTACTTATAGATTCATAATTAGTCATAATTCTAACTTACTTAGATATATGTAGTTTAAAATTCTGTAATTGTTTTTAGAATAAGTAGGATTTCATATTTTTTAGAATTTGTTTCCTTTTTAGGAATTCATAACATTTTGTTATTTTCATATGTCATGCTAATAACCTTTGAAAACCTAGGTTCTAATATTTAACTTTTACCCCCTCCCCAGGAATCAGAGATGGAAACAGAAGAGGAGGTTGACATTTTAATGAGTAGTGATATTTACTCTGCAACTCTATCAACCAAATCAATTTCTTTCACACGTGCCCAAACAGGATGGCTTTTTCGGGAAGATAAAACAGTATGTACAAATCTAGATTTTTAAACTTTAAAGATTGTTTAGAATTTAACATTGCCAAAATAAGGTGATGGAAATGCAAGAAGTAGCTTACTGAATTGTCTTCAAATAGTTTATTCTCTCCACTTTGTGACCACATAGGGAATTATAATGGTTGGTTACAGAATTGGAACATATTCTTAGAGAAGCCAAGAAGGAAAGTTTAGTTCATTGAATTCCATGTTGGGAAAGATTCTTTTTGTCAGCTGTCTTGTCCTCACATGTTTCCATTATATTTCTAATGCTTTATTCCTTAGGAAGACCACAAAGAGGGATACACTTTTGAATTCATTTCCCTGGATATTTTTACTTTCTACTCTTAAACTTCTAAACTATTTACTTATCTAATAGCGGTTTCTCAGTATTCCATATATATGACTAAAATGAATTTCATTGAAGGTTTCTCTTTAGTGAATTGTAAATTTTTCCCATAATTACCATTTACCTGTCAAGAAGAGGTTATGTAAGAATGCTCAAGCCCTAGTCGGGTAGCTCAGTTGGTTAGAGTATCATCCTGATGCACCAAGGTTGCAGGTTTGATCCCCAGTCAGGGCACATACCAGAAGCAACTGGTGAATGCAGAAGTTAGTGGAACAACAATTGATATTTCTCTCTCTCCTCCCTCCCCCTTCCTTTCATTCTCTAAATTAATCAATAAAGAAAAAGTTTTTTTTAAATGTTTGAAATATTCTTAGACTTTATTTATTTATATATTTTTATTTATTTCAGAGAGGAAGGGAGAGGGAGCGAGAGATAGAAACATCAACGATGAGACAGAATCATAGATTGGCTGCCTCCTTCATGCCACCTACTGGGGGTCAAGCCCACAACCCTGGCATGTGCCCTTGATCATAATTGAACCCGGGACCCTTCAGTTCACAGGCCAACACTTTATCCACTGAGCCAAACCAGCTAGGGCTCTCAGGCATTTTTTAAATTAGACACATGAAGAAGCATTTTATAAAATTTTAAAGTCAATAAGTAATCAGATCAGGTAAGGGCCATACTTACTACTTTTAAAATTATATTCATCTTATATTACACTAGAGGCCTGATGCACGAAATTTGTGCAAGAGTAGGCCTTCCTTCCCCCAGGTGCCGACACCAGCTTCCCTCTGGCATCTGGGATCTGGGTGCCAGAGGGAAGCTGGTGTCGGCAGCTGGGGGAAGGAAGGTCTACTCTTATACAAATTTCGTGCATCAGGCCTCTAGTAGATGTATAAGTATATATTTAGAGAGAGAGAAGGGGGGGGTGTAGAGAGAGATTGATTTATTTTAAGGAATTGGCTCATGTGAATATAGGAACTGGCAAGTCTGAAATCTAGAGCAGTGCAGCAGGCTGGAAATTCAGGGGAGAGTTGATATGGTCTTGATTCTGGAATCTCAGGCAGGGTTTCTATGTTGCAGTCTTGGGACAGAATTGCTTTTCCTTTGGGAAACAGGCTTTGCTCTTAAGGCCTGCAGTTGATTGGATGAGGCCTACCTACATTATAGAGGGTAATCTGCTATATTCCAAGTCTACTGATTTAAGTGTTAATTACATCTAAAAAATACCTTCATTGAAACATCTAGACTGGTGTTTGATCAAAAGATTGGGCACCATAGTCTTGCCAAATTGACGTAAAATTAACCACCACACAACCTTACATATAAAGTTAAATGTTCCCTTTGGCCACTACTCACAATCCCAGAGCACCTTGCAGAAGGTTATCTATTTATATATCCTTCAGACCCTTTTATATGCTTTCCATAAATAATGTATTTATAGTAATCTGTAGCTTTAGTTGTTGATACTTATTTTTTCATAAAGTGTTCTACCTATTTTTTGCAACTATTTTTTTTCTCTTTAGTATGTTTTAGGTGCTTTTTCTTATTAGTAGTGCTACTTCATTCTTTTTAACAACTGCAGAGTATTTCATAATATGGGTATGTTGTAGTTTATTTAGCCAGGCTCTTTTTTTGGACATTTAAATGAATGGACACACATTTTGTCCAGTTTTCTGCCATTATGAATGATGTTGCATTCTTTTACATTCCTTTGCAGTGTCTGTTATAGATAGCAAGAAATAAAATGGCTGAACTATAGAGACTATACACTACAAATTTATACTGTTCTGATGGTTTACTTTTAATAAATGCTTTTTATTGTGAGATTTCAAAAACTGATAATTATCACCTGAGTATCTCACAACCACAGAAAAAATCCTCACTGTAGATCTAGGCTCCTCAGCTTTCCTCTCTAAGCCTATTTGGCAACAAATAGCATATAGGATTCCCAGTTGTGAGCTCCTACACTGCAATCCATTTGTTGGCTTAAGTCTTATTTATTTGTACTCTGTTCTTCTGGACAGCATTAGAAGGATCACTTCAAGAGAAGATAAAAATTGAAGCTGCTATTCATCTAGTGCTACTGCTAAGCAGCTCAAAGCTCTTGAACAGCGTCTAGGTGATCTTCTTAAATCTTTGACAGGTAAGGAGGGAGTCAGTAATGCTTATGGTTCCCATTTTGTAGGTAGAAACAGGTGCAGAATGCTTTGCTTTCTGGTGACTGGTAAAAGAGCCACCAAAAGCAAGGTGGACATGGAAACAACTCTAAACACATAGTTTTGGAATGCCAGAACACAGTAGTAAGTAGGAGACCAAGTGATTTGCATGCAGGTGAAACTTGGAAGCTTGCTTTCCATCATGTTTTTTGAAGTAAAATATTTCAAACTCTGACCTCCTCTTGAGTCTGATTTAAAAGGGTGATGTTTTATGTTGAAGGAAATAACAACTCTCTTCTTAATGTCCCTTATACCTCTTGAGTTTCCCTATCCCCCATTTTTAATATAAACAGTGGTATTGGTGAGCTGGACTGCTCTGTTGTTCTCCCTTTGTTGAAAGTAGTAACTAAATGTAACTTGAGTTTTGATCATGTTAGAAAATAGAGTATTGGAACAGGTAATTAATTATAGGTGTCCTAGAGATTTCTATGTGACTTAGACTATTTCTTTTTATTCCACTTTCTTTTCTATCTATAAAATGGGAACAGTAATTATCCCTGACCCCTCCTTGTTACTTACGATGTTTGACTTTAGCTAAATAAAATTTTCAGATAGCTTTGTGCTACTTGGGAGTAGATTCTAAAGGAATACTATATGGTATTTTTATTTAAATTTAACTCATTTTCAGATTAACTGCCATACATATGTGTGTTTTAAATTTTTCTTTACAAATTTGAAATGTGTAATCCTATATAATAAAAGGCTAATATGCAAATCAAATGAACAGCGGAATGACTGGTTTGCTATGATGCGCACTGACCACCGGGGGGCAGACGCTCAACACAGGAGCTGCCCCCTGGTGGTCAGTGTGCTCCCATGGCGGAGCGCTGCTCAGCTAGAAGCCAGGCTCACGGCTGGCCTGGCGAGCATAGCAGCGGTGGCAGGAGCCTCTCCTGCCTCTACAGCAGCACTAAGGATGTCTGACTGACAGCTTAGCGGGCCTAAGCTGTCAGTCGGACATCCCCCAAGGGCTCCTGGACTGTGAGAGGGCGCAGCCAGTCTGAGGGGCCCCCCCCCCCCCCCCCCCGCCGCAGTGCACGAATCTTGTGCACCGGGCCCCTAGTTTAATATATTTTTTAACTTAATAGAATGCATAAGATAATTCGGTAATTTCAAGTACCAAAGGAATATTTATATATACCTTAATGTTACATATTTATGGAAAAACATGCATATTACTTTGAAACTTTCTTGTTAATCTAAGGCCACCTTAATCTTTTTATTATGTTGAAATATTTGATTTTGTTTTAGGAAAGAGTAGGAAACTTTTTGGCAGACTTTTATTTGGTGAATGGACTTGTTTTAGAATCAAGAAAAAGAAGAGAACATCTCAGTGAAGAAGATATTCTTCGAAATAAGGCCATTATGGAGAGTCTTAGTAAAGGTGGAAACATAATGGAACAAAATTTTGAGGTATAATTTTCACTTCTAATTTATAATGTTCTAAGGAGAGAGGGGGTAGACTCTATTCCTGGCATTTAGTGAATTTATGTAAATACACACATGGGTTTTGTTTACTATATACAATACACCTTTTGGTGGTGGTGTTTTTTTATATATATTGCCTTTAGTGATATTTTTGTGTGTGTGAATCTGTTCTTGGTCTCTGAGGCTTTACTAACAAATAGATTAAATCATTTTATAAGCATGAAACCCAGTATTAATTTTTAATCCATGTTCCTTTGCATATATTCTTTTTCCTATTTCACTAATTGAAATCACCAACTGCTTTGAAGGCCAAAGTAATGGTCCACTTACTTTATGAAATCATTTCTAGCCTATAACTTTGATAGTGTGCCAAGTTCCAACTAAGTCATGGTAATATTGTGTGCATGTGCGTGTGTGTGTGTGTGTGTGTGTGTGTGTTTTAACGTTTGCAAAGTTCATGTATTGAGTGAATCAGCCATGTAGTTCAATTAAATAAGTACAGGATGTAAAATGTTTGAGAATCCCCATTCAGTGTTTAAGTTAAAATTGTGATCATGCTAGTTTAGTGTGACCCTATTTCCTTCCCACCAGATCCTCCTTAGATTTTTTTTGGCTTTGGGATAGAGTTGCGCTTCATCAGACTTCATTTTTCAGGAGCCCACCTGGTATTTACTGATATCTTGATAACTAGGAGATACAGGACATGATATACTCAGGAAATAGAAATAAATTGAGAGAAAAAATGCTGAGCTCAATTTTGGACAAAGCTGCTTCTCTCACCCATAAACAAAAAGGCCATTTATTTGGACTTATATTGCGACTTAAATTTTATTTAGTTATTTTTAAGAAATGATTTTGTTGTGGTAGTTATTGCTACCTTTGTTTAATTTTGGCAGCAAACCATTTTGGGATGAATATTTGGGGAAAACAACTATATAGAATAGCATTTCATGGACCATTTGCCGATTGCCTTCGATTGTCTGATTTATCTGTATTTAAACCTGCAGCATACAACTTAATTTTCTTTGTAAGATGTACTTGAATTGTTAAAGGGGTCTGCAGATGGCATTTTAATAAGTTATAGTTTTGTACATTGAAATTAAAGATATAGTTTAATTTCAGATAGCCACATGATAGAACAAAGTAATACGAATTAAGTTAAATAATTAAGGTTTTGACTTCTGAGCAGAAATAAAACACTTTCTATGTGAATCATAGCCCCTTGAACTTTACAGTTTTTGATGAATATTTAAATCAACTTGTCAATTTCTATGACAGATAAAACATTTGCTGGGATTTTGATTAGGATGGTGTTGGACTTTTGATGGGGAAGAATTGATTAATTATATTTGAGAATCCTTTTGGAGTTCAGTTATAAATAGAAGAAATTTAAAGACAATATTAATTCTATTATATTCATCTATGCATATAATTTAATTTTTTTGAATCTGGAATGGTGCAGGATGAAAAAACATCAAAACAGAATTGGTATTTAATTATAAAAAAGGTAAAAATAGCTGGGGGGTTTTTTTCTCCCAGACACAGAATTTACAAACACAGGGAAAGCAGCATGGAATTGATACCAGTTTAATTATATTCCACAGTGGGCATTAAAGGAGAAAAGAAATACTTGTATGCATTTCATAGGTACTTTTGGAACTACAGTTCTTTTTTTCTTTTTAATTTTTTTTCTTTATTGATTAAGGTATTATATATGTGTCCTTATCGCCCCATTGCCCCCCCCCCCCCGTATCCCCCCCACCCAACTCATGCCCTCACCCACCCTGGTGTCTGTGTCTATTGGTTAGGCTTATATGCATGCATACAAGTCCTTTGGTTGATCTCTCCCCCTTACCCCAGCCCTCCCCTACCTTCCCTCTGAGGCTTGACGGTCTGATCGATGCTTCTCTGTCTGGATCTGTTTTTGTTCATCAGTTTATGTTGTTCATTATATTCCATAAATGAGTTAGATCATGTGATATTTTATCTTTCTCTGACTGGCTTATTTCACTTAGCATAAGGGAATACAGTTCTTTTAAACCTAAACAATAAGCTTTTAGGAAAGGTACATATAAATTATCATGCACAGTTAAAAAATAGGTGGTCAAAAGAATAAAGGGAGGATCCTATCAAATTCAAGAGACAGTCCCATTGTAATGGGGAATTGTATTTAAAATCTTAATATTAAGTTTTAAAAAACACATAAACCAGTATTGAAAATTAATGGCTGCTTGGTCACAGCTGGTAATATAAAAATGAATCGAGTGTGAAAATCATTATGTGTTATGTCAACTTGCAAGTCACATAAACACAGGTTAGTTACTCAAATGTATGTACTTTAATGAGTGATTATTATAACAAAACATTTTGTTGGCAAATAACAAAGGATTCTCCAGTGGCCTAATCTGAATTAAGTGTCATAAATTTAAATTCAGCTTCTACAAGTTAAAAATTGATTTCATATGCACCTCAATGAGTTTTCTTTTTTATTTATGTTGGTTTAAAACATTGGAGTTGGTTTTTTTTCACATTCACATAACTTTTATTATAATATCTACACTAATAAAAGAGAAACATGCAAATTAACCATCACTCCATCACTCTGCCACTCCACTACACCCACCAGCCAATCAGAGCGACTATGCAAATTAACCCAACAAAGATGGTAGTTAATTTGCATACACAGGTGCAGAGGGAAGACTGAAGATGACTGAAGATGGCGGCGGCCACGGAGCTGGAGCGAGCAGGAGGCTTGGGTTGCTCCTGGCGACCGAGGAAGTCAAGCTTCCCGCTGTCCCTGGACTCCGCTCAAGGAGTGGCTGGGGGCTTGGGTTACCAGGGGCAACCCAGGCTTCCAGTCCGCCCTGAGCTCGGCTGGAGGGGAAAAAAAAAGGAGAGGCTGGGAGCAGCCGGAGCGGAAAAGCCAAGCCTCGCTGCTGCGGCCGGACCAAAGGCCTGGGTCCCAGGTGCCGGAGGAAAACCGGTGCCGGTAGCCAGGGGAAGGAAGGCCTATTGAGCGAATCTTTGTGCAAAGGGACACTAGTATTGTTATAATTGTCCTATTGATACAAAGATGAATAGAACATAGACCTGTCCTCCAGGCTCAGAGACTCTAATGAGAGATGGTGTGAAGGTAATGCCCAGTGCGCAAAAATAACTTTGGCATTGTTAACATGGGCATTGTGCTAAGTATTTTCATCTCTCTTAATTATTAGTTATTTAATGAGATGAGTGTCATTGCTCCACTTTATAGAAAGGAAAATGAGGTTTAAAGAAATTAATTTCTCTGAAGTCACAAAGTTAGAAGTAGCAAAGATCAGTTCTTGACTCTTAAGTCAGTGGTTCTCAACCTTCCTAATGCCACGACCCTTTAATACAGTTCCTCATGTTGTGGTGACACCCAATGTCATTGTTACAAATTGAACATAATTAAAGAAAGCATAGTGATTAATCACAAAAACAATATGTAATTACATATGTGTTTTCCGATGGTTTAGGCGAGCCCTGTGAAAGGGTCTTTCGACCCCCAAAGGGGTCGCAACCCACAGGTTGAGAACCGCTGCTCTAAGTATATTGCTTCTCTATAGTGACCCAAATGCATATTTAACAGACAAAGGTGTAAGTTTTAAAATCTGACATGACCTTTTACCGGTGTTGATCAAATAAATGGTCTGTGTTTGACTTTCATACAATCTGAGCCCCAATCCCCTAATCTGAATTTATTATCCATAGAACACTGCTCTCTTTTTTAGCTCCTGTACTATTCAATTTTTTTGTAAGCTCATTTGGTCTTTAATAATATAATATTTTGTATTTCTGATTAACTGTTCATGTATGGATTTTTCTTTGAATTGTAAACTCCTTGAAGTCATGGTTAGTTTTTATACTTCATATTCACTTTCTAGCATAATGCCAAGAACATTTTAGATGATTAAAACATTGAATGAATGGATTTTATTACTTTGATAACTTATCTTCTTATTTGAGATTTAGAAAAAAATTGATACTAAATTACTGATAGCACTTAAATCACCATGGAACTATCTTGGCAGTAAACTCTTAAAGCATTATATTGAAGAGATTGAACAGTTTAGTAGTTTAAATAGCTTATTATGATCAACATAATTTGATGAACAAGAATAGATCGATCTAGAGACAAATGGTAGGGGAGGGCGAGTTAGAGAGCAACTAAAGGACTTGTATGCATGCATATTAACATAACCAATGGACACAGACACTGGGGCGGTGGGGGCTTGTCCGGGGTGGGAATGGCTGGGTGGCGGGGGGCAATTGGGGAAAAAGGAGACATATGTAAAACTTTAGACAATAAAAAATAAAAATAAAATAAGTAGTTTAAAATAGCTTTATTTTATATTTTTTAAAATGTCATTTTTCCCCCTCCCTTCTTCTGTGTCTCCCTCTGTCTGTCTCTCACTCTATGTGTTTGTCTCTGTCTTTCTCCCTGTCCCTCTGCCTCTTTATTTCTTTTTGGCAGCCGGTTCGAAGACAGTCCCTTACCCCTCCTCCTCAGAACACTATTACATGGGAAGAATATATATCTGCTGAAAATGGAAAGTAAGTGTTTTTTCTTTTATTTTGATTATTTTGGATTCTTTGGTTTTTAAAAAGAATAATTTGTAAAAACAGAAATAATGACCGGAGATGGATGAGCTTGAAAAAACAAAAAGTAGAGAAATAGTGAATGGCCTCACACACTATGCTAAAGACTCAGGATAATGACAGAACATAACATTTGGGTGTAGAATTGTTTTAGAGAGAATCTATAATAATAAAAGCATAATATGCAAATGGACCCAACGGCCGAACAGTGGAATTACCTTCCGGATTCCGGGGCTGCGAGGGCCTACTCTTGCATAAATTTCATGCATTGGGCCTTTGGTTATTAATAGTTTTGTCTGAAGTAATTCTTTGACCTTTTAAAATATGGATTAGGCATGATGTGCACCCTTTGACTAAGTTACAGAGCTTTCTTTTTACATCCTTGCTGCCAATTTACATTCACTAAACCTATCGAATATTGTTCTAAGAAAATACAATGTGAGGAATTGCCCAGTGCCCTTGCATTTTTGAGTTCACTTTATGTAAATTTTTATGTTCTGTCTTTATTCTGAGTCTTTAGCATGTTATGTGAGGCCATTCACTATTTCTCTACTTTTTGTTTTTTCAAGCTCCTCCATCTTCGGTCATTATTTCTGTGCTTTAGCCTATGCCAGACTATTTCTCACTATCCTTACATAAGACATTTGCTTAATATTTTATTACTAATATTTACTGGAGTACCTAGCACATAGTTTGTATTCAGCAAATATTTGTTGAATAAAAAAATGATGAATGACAGACAACTATTTTGAATGAATCAATAAATAAAAAGTTTTTTTCTGGCCAACCATGTGAGATAAAGTATAGTTCTTATAGAAAATAGTATTTTTCTTTGGCAGAGAATAAAAGTTTGCCTACTCTCATGTTTAGGAAGAAGTTGCAGTGATTATTATTTTTTGTATTGAAGGTTTATTATACTTTTCTAACTTTTCCAAAATGTTTCCATTGTACAGTATTCTATAGTGAATGTAGAATTCTTTATTCTTTTTTTAAAATATATTTTTATTGATTTCAGAGAGGAAGAAAGAGGGAGAGAGAGATAGAAACATCAATGATGAGAGAGAATCATTGATTGGCTGCCTCCTGCACACCCCACACTGGGGATTGAGCCCGCAACCCGCATGTGCCCTTGACTGGAATCGAACCTGGGACCTTTCAGTCCAAAGGCCGACGCTCTATCCACCAAGCCAAACCGGCTAAGGCTAGAATTCTTTATTCTTCACATCATTTCTTATTGGTTATGCTGAGAACTATAGACAATAAAAGAGATTGAATTGAATAAGTGATTTTAAAGATACACAGTGTTACAGTTTTTGTGTGGTTTGCTTTGTTCCTAAAAGTGCTTATTAAATTATATCAATGTGAAATTTGATCATTTTTCTGAACTTTTGTACTTTGTTATCCTTATTTCTTATACATGTCTCATTTTCTTTTATCAGAATTTTAATTTATTTCTATGCTCAGAGTAAGAAAATTTGAAATATTAATAAGTGTCATTGGAAAAGGACAGATTCTTCTTAAGATGATAAGACATGGAAAAAGTTTACTAATATATATATATATATTTTCATTTTAGAGCTCCTCATCTCGGTAGAGAACTGGTGTGCAAAGAGAATAAGAAAACATTTAAAGCCACAATAGCCATGAGCCAGGAATTTCCCTTGGGAATTCAGTCGTAAGTTAGTTACTAACTATACAAGTTTATCAAAGAAGCTACTAAACCCTAAAGACTTTAATAATATTTGTATCTGAGTGGTTTATTTGAAGCCTTTGACATGCAAAAGCAAATAGTCATTGATTTGATAGTGTGTGTACCCTTCTCGAAATTTTTTAGTTTACAAAATAGTAATATTTTTATTATTTTAACCAGATAAATGTTTGTATAGTTTTTAAATTATAAGAATAATACATAAATACATACATTTTTGTTGCATTTTTTAAAAAATATTTTTTTTTAATCGATTTCACAGTGGGAGAGGGAGAAATAGAAACATTAATGATGAGAGAGAATCATTGATTGGCTGCCTCCTGCACACTCCCTACTAGGGATTGAGCCCCCAACCCAGGCAAGTGCCCTTGACCGGAATCGAACCTGGGACCCTTCAGTCTATAGGCCGATGGTCTGTCCACTGACCGTACTGGCTAGGGCAGTGGTCGGCGAGCCACATACGGCTCTTTGGCCCCTTGAGTTTGGCTCTTCCACAAAATACCACGTGTGGGCGCGCACGTACAGTGCGATTGAAACTTCGTGGCCCATGTGCAAAAGTCGGTTTTCGGCCTGGGCGAGTCTATTTTGAAGAAGTGGCGTTAGAAGTGGGGGGTGTCGGTCAGTCGGGCGATGGGAGACGCGGCGCAGGCGGGCTGCGAGATACGCAGCACGGGGGAGGCGTGTGTGATTCATGCACGAGTTGAGTGAGCCAGTCAGTCAGCAGTCTCATTGTGCAGTGGTTAGTGCTAGTCGCGTCTGCAAAACGTGCGCGGGTGACAAAAGTAAAGTTTATTAAGTTAATTTTAGGGAACGTTGTGGAGTGAAAGAAGATGTAGTGTCGAGGATTGAGAAAGGTATGTTGAGATGGTTTGGACATATAGAGAGGATGAACAAAAGGAGATAGACGAAACAAGTATACAAGACGAGTGTGGATGGGAGAATTGGAAGGGGTCAACCTCAGCGAACATACCTCAATCAGATTGAGGACGTTTTTAGCAAAGGCCAGCTTAGGAGTACCCTAATTAAGTTAATAACAATGTACCTACCTATAAAGTTTAAGTTTAAAAAATTTGGCTCTCAAAAGAAATTTCAGTCATTGTACTGTTGATATTTGGCTCTGTTGACTAATGAGTTTGCCGACCACTGGGCTAGGGCAATACATACGTTTTATTTAATATCTAATACAATGGGGTTTATAGAATAAAAATGATAGCTTACTTTCACCTTAGTAATTGTTAATAGATGATAACTGCTATATTTTTATCTAGGATTTTCTGTTTTTGCATTTTTATAAAAATGGCATATTCTACATTTTGTTCTGTGAGTTCCTTTTTTTTTCGTTTAAAAGTGAGTATATCTTGCAATTCTTACACTAATTACTTTTTAGTGTCTCTTTTTCTTCTTTCTTTGTTACTTTGCAGTGTTGATTTATTGTCATTTGTTTTATTCTCCTGATGATAAATATATTGATTGTAGTTTGTCACTATTATAAACAATACTGCAGTAGACATCTCTCAAACTGTACTCAGCAGATGCTCATAAAAAATTTTAATTTAGAGTACTTTTTAAGGTGCTCGGGGGGATGTTGTCTGATTCATGAATCAATTAAAGACTAATGATCTTTTTAAAAAATTCAATTAGCAGACTGAAGCCCCAGGCTATTTTCCTTTCCTAGTTCCTTCCCCTATCACTCTGGCCTAGTACAATAAAAGAAATCATCATAGAATAGAGCAAGACCTACATTTTTCTACAGTCTATATATGTCTCATACCCCCCAATAGCCTAACTTGAGAAAAGGAGATAGAATGTGCTATACAGCCTTCAAGCTATAGATCAGGGATGGAGATAGATAGTTCCCATAGGATATGGGAAGGGAGTTATTCATACATACATACATGTCTGTATTATTATCATATATTGGACCCAGTTGACTAAAAAATGTACCAGTATTTTTAATTTTTGTGCACCAGGCCTCTAGTATATATATAAAAGCCTAATCAACCTTCCGACTGTTCAACCACCTGACCGGTAGCTATGATGTGCACTGACCACCAGGGGGCAGACGCTCAATGCAGGAGATGCTGAGCTGCAGTGACTTGGCAGCTGCAGTTCTCGGTTGATGCACCCGGTACCAGAGAGTACGGAACCTGATTCTGGGGTGTGTCACCTGAGAACCACCCTCTCGCAATCCGAGACCCCTTCGGGGGGATGTCGGAGAGCCAGTTTCGGCCCAATACCTGTAGGCCAGGCCAAGGGACCCCACCTGCCGGAGGGACCCCGCTCCCTGCGCAGATGCCCTTTGAGCCGAGGCGCCGCCTTAGGTGTGGCCAGCTGGGGGGGACCACGGGAGGTTGGCTCCAGAGCGTGTCCGGCCCATCTAGTTCAATCCTGCCCACTCCTTCCCCACTGGCCATCTTTTAATTAATTTCATTTCAATGTGCACAGATCCGTGCATCGGGTCACTAGTATTCATATAAGTTACTTGGTTAATCTCTTTCTTCTACCCCTCTTCCCTACCCTCTGAGATCTCTCAGTCTGTTGCATGCTTCCATGTCTCTGGACCTTTTTTGTTTGTCATTTTATTTTCTTCATTAGGTTCCACATATAAGTGAGATCATGTGATACTTGTCTTTTTCTGACTGGCTTATTTTGTTTAGCATAATAATCTCCAGGTCCATACTTGCTGTCTCAAAGGATAAGAGATCCTTCTTTTTTTTTATAGCTGGGTAGTATTCTATTGTATAAATGTACCACAGCTTTTTTTATCCACTCATCTACTGAAGGGCACTTGGGCTGTTTCCAGATCTTAGCTATCCTATATAATAAATTGACTGTCACGCCCTCGCACAAATGGCCGCCCCCATGTGGTCAAAGATGGCCGCCCCCCATGTGGTCACAATATGGCCACCACAAGATGGCCGGCAGGGGAGGGCAGTTGTGAGCTATCAGGCCTGCAGGGGAGGGCAGTTAGGGGCGACCAGGCCGGCAGGGGAGGGAGGGCAGATGGGGAGGATGAGGTCGGCAGGGGAGGGCAGTTGGGGGCAATTGGGCCAGCAGGGGAGCAGTTAGGGGCAATCGGGCCAGCAGGGGAGCAGTTAGGCATCAATCAGGCCGGCAGGGGAGCAGTTAGGCATTGATCAGGCCGGCAGGGGAGCAGTTGGGGGCGATCAGGCAGGCAGGCAGGCGAGTGGTTGGGAGCCAGCAGTCCCGGATTGTGAGAGGGAAGTCTGACTACCGGTTTAGGATCGGGCCTAAACCGGCAGTCGGACATCCCCTGAGGGATCCCAGATTGGAGAGGGTGCAGGCTGGGCTGAGGGACACGCCCCCTCCAGTGCATGAATTTCGTGCACTGGGCCTCTAGTCCAATATGATAAAAAGGTAATATGCAAATTAACCCTCATGCCCTCAGAAGATGGCTGCCTACGACCAGGTCAGCAGGGGTGTTATTGAGGGACGACCAAACGACTGAACAGCAGGCTGCGTGGGGTTACCAGGCCGGCAGGGGTGTTAGTGAGGGACGACCAAACGACTGAACAGCAGCCTGTATGGGGCAACCAGGCCGGCAGGGGTGTTAGTGAGGGACGACCAAACGACTGAACAGCAGGCTGCGTGGGGTGACCAGGCCGGCTGCGGGGGCCGTGAGAGGCAACCAGGGGGGCAGGAGGGGTGTCCAGGTTGGGGGTGCAGTTAGGGGTGACCAGGCCGGCAGTGGGGTGCAGTTGGGGATGACCAGGCTGGCATGGGGGGCAGTTGGGGGCAATTAGACTGGCAGGGGGGGCAGTGAAGGGTAACTTGGCCAGTGGGGGGGCAGTTGGGAGCAACCAGGCCGGCAGAGGGGGGCAGTTGTGGGCGACCAGGCCGGCAGGGGGGCAGTTAGTGGTGACCAGGCCGGCATGCAGAGGCAGTGAGGGGTGATCAGGCCTGCAGTGGGGATCCGTTAGGGGCGACCAGGCAGGCAGGCAGGTGAGCGATTAGGAGCCAGCGGTCCAGGATTGAGAGGGATGTCCGCGCGATTAGGAGCCAGAGGTCCAGGATTGTGAGAGGGATGTCCGATTGGAGAGGGTGCAGGTGGGCTGACGGGACCACCCCCCATCCCGTGCACAAATTTTGTGCACCGGGCCTCTAGTCGTAAATAAATAACGCTGTTAAGAACACAGGGGTGCAAATATTCTTTCTTATGTTTTCTGATTCTTAGGATATATTCCCAGAAGTGGGATTGTTGGCTTCAACAGCAATTCCACTTTTATTTTTCAAGGAAATGCCATATGGTTTCCATAGTGGCTACACCAGTCTGCATTCAAACCAAAAAGCTTCTACACAGCAAAATAAACCATCCTCAAAATGCAAAGGGAACCCACTGTATGGGAGAACATACTCCCCAATCATACATCAGAAAAGGGGTTAATTTCCAAAACATAAACTATGCATACAACTCAACAAAAGGAAGACAATCCAATTAAAAAATGGGCAAAGGATCTAGAGATGGCCAAGAGACATATGAAAAAATGCTCAAAGTCACTGATCATCAGAGAGATGCAAATAAAAATATGCATCAGTTTTATATTCTAATTAAGAAAAATGTGGTTAATTATAGGATATTATCAGCTTTAGGAGTTATCCCAATTTCAGAGATGTTAATATATGAAAAAATGGGTATATTAGAACTTATAAGTGTGGCATTTATAACAATGTCCCCTGAAAAAACGTTGAAAAGGAACATAGCATATAAAAGCCAGACAAATAATTCATTCTAGAATAAATTTTTTTGTAAATGCTGTTGAAAACCATAAAAATAATGAAATGAATAAACTAGATCACTCTAGATGAGATGACAATAGAATGAAATCAAAAGGAGATTGTAAAGGTAATGAAATAAATTAAGCACTAAATATCACTGTTGCAAAACAGCTACTTTAGAAACAATAATGAACAGAATATATGTGGCAAAAAATTAAATTTTGTTAGTTCATAGTGAATGCAGTAAAAGAATAGATTAAAGTAATTAGAGAAGTAATATTTATGGGAGACAGAGATGGTTCAACACGAGTATTCTTAATGTTCCACTGATATAGAGAGCTTCCAAAATGTAACCAAAATACCATTCTAAATATAAGAGAAAGTTTCTCTGTAAGGAAAACTGAATCTGTAGCATAACGTTAGGGTCCAAGAAAATTTGATAAAAGAATGATTAGTAACAATAATTACCCTGATGAAACTATTTGACTTAAACTTTAAATAAAGAAGTTTAATGGCCCTGGCCGGTGTGGTTCAGTTGGTTGAACATCTGGTGCACCAAAATGTTGCCAGTTCGATTCTTGGTCAGGGCACATGCCTGGGTTGTAGGAGGCAGCCAATTGGTGGTCTCTTTTATATTGATGTTTCTGTCTCTTTCTCTCTTTCCCCTCTCTCTGAATTCTAATGGCATTCAGGCAGAAAGGGTCTAAAATACAGCCTGGCATTACATTTTTTCACATCTTAGCATTTCTGAGGCAAAGGAAGTGTGATCTGATAATATATCTAGCTAAGATGTCATTTAAATATAAAGGCAATTAAAAAAGTATTCAAGAAATATAGCAGCAGTGGGCCATTTTTGAAAGAAAAATAATACTACTTGAAAATAATATCCATCAAATCTCAGAGGAAAGGGGGTGGGTGGCAGAGATCAACCAAAGAATTTGTATACATATATGCATAACCAGTGGACATAGACAATTGGGTGCTAAAGGCCTGGGGTGGGGGGCAGGAGTGGGCTAGAAGGGGTCAA